CATAGAATTTAATTTTCTTCAAAAGAGGCATTCTTGTTTGGTCTCCACTAGCAATCAAATCCCTATAAATGCAAACAACTTGTATGGTGTTGTGCACTAGTAAGTGTATTTAAAAAGCCATTTCCTAGCTTTTATATCTAGTGCATCAGAAAATTAAATTCTATGAAAAGGACAATGGTTTTTCAATTGGCCATTCCAAAAATGTTACAGGTAAGGATTAAAAACCTCCATCCTCTGGCCAACCTCAAACAGCCGTACTATCTCCCCATCAAAACATTCTACCTCTTATAATAGCTGGCTAAGAGGTTCAGGTGTTTCCAGACCTTTCAAAGAGAAAATGTAAGAATAATAAGCACCATTGCTCCCTGCTTTCTCTCACATGGATAAATTGATGATGCCAAGTGACAGGTCTTTTGTGACTTTCTGTTTGTAGTTTCCTCCTGTTAGTCCTTGAGCTGAACACCTTTCTCAGAGAGGTAGCCATAAAATCCCCCCTTGGTTCCTCAATTTTGACATTAAAAAAAGAATCTTGTCATTTTAAGCTCCCACTGATTTTCAGGGAAGACATTTAAGCATGTTCTTGATTTTCTTCCCACTATTCTCAATGGGACTCTTTGGGTCATGTCTATAAGAAATGTTAAAAATTGGAAAAATTGAGAGTTCATGCAGCTATTAACACTGCTTGACCTGAACAAAAGAGAAAGGAATTGGAATTAAAGCTTCAAGTACATACTACACACTGTGCCAGCCAGCCAGTAATTAAAAGGATTGTTGTGTGTCTCAATTTTAACTCTCTTGGGCAATTCTTCAGCAATAGTCTGTAGCTTTTTTATGACCAAGTCCAACTTCCAAATCTGACATGACCAGATTTGAAACCAAGAAACTACTAATTCAAGTTTTGCTCTATATGTATTAGAAAAGAAAGATATATAGTTTGGGCCTGGGTTGTAAGATACACATATTTTAATTTACTAGTATAGTCAACTTAAAATGTTGTGGGAATCGAGACTCAATTTTTTTTTTCTTCAGTTACCCTCTTCATTTTATGTCACAATAAAAATTAACTACTAGTAATGATCAGTTAAAATTGTCACCTACATTTGAAAAGCCTAAAACATCAGCTGAAGATGAATAGCAATAGCAATAGCAATAGCAGTAGACTTATATACCGCTTCATAGGCCTTTCAGGCCTCTCTAAGCGGTTTACAGAGAGTCAGCATATNGAAATTATGGAGATCGGAGAAGGCAGGACAGAGGGGAATCCAGGAGAAAGCTATTGCATGCTGGGGAAAGAACTTTGGGAGATCGGAGGAGGCAAGACAGAGAGGAATCTAGTCTCTCTGGAGAGGAACGGAAGGTCTCTCCCAAGACCTGCTTCCCTTACCTTGCAGTGCAGTTCTGGGACACGTTTGGGTAATGGGGGAGGGGGCTTTCTTGCATGCCTTTGGAGAAAGGTCTGCAAGAAAGCCCCCCCACATTGCCCGAACGTTTGAATGAAGGAGGCTGCAGTCTCTTTTGCTCTCGGCTATGCGATCTCCTTTCGTTCTCTGCTGCCCAAATGAGGCAGACAGAGAATGAAAGGAGATCACGTCGGGCGGGGGGAGCGAGTCAAGTGTTCCAACCGGTTCTAAACGGCACGGTATATTTGTGGAACCTCTTCTACCGAACCGGTTAGAACCGGCAGGAATCCATCCCTGGCGCATATTCAAATCACCATGCCATATAAACCTTGATATACAACTTTCAATCAACATGCATAACCATGCTTTGATATAATTTCATTTTTACAAGGACCCCTCAGGAGCTATGTTATAGAAAACATTTATTTAATCTATCAAGAGATAAAAGCCATCTAGGGATCACAGTATGCAAGTAACGCTCAGTATCAAAAAACAAACATAATAAAGAAACAAACATATCATAAGCTGCAAGAAATAGGGCCCCACAAAGTTATTCCAGCTATTGCCTTACTTATCTATGAAATCATCCGTGCTTTTCTTAGGCATGTTATCGGCATGTCGAAGCAGCCAAATAATTTCATCACGAGCAAAGGATAGTGCCATAAATACAAACAGGGCCTGAAAAGAAAGAGACATATTTATTAATGCAATTCATTTCTAAAGAAGGTATGCATATCAAATGGAATTATCCAGAATGATAAACCCACAGAATTAATCATTCTGAAGGAAAATATTTATTTTCCGCTAGCATTATTTATTTACCTTGGGACCTAAAAGTCCTGGCTGATCTGATAGGACAGTGGCTAGCTCTTTTAGTGCAGACCGTAAAAACTTGCGCCGTTCTCTGTGCATTGAACCCCTGTTCAAAAAATATAAACTTTATGATTAACATTACCAATATATTACATTTCAGAAATAAATCTCAAGTTGTTTGGGAATCTCTGGCCTAGTGATAATTCATATAGTTCTGCAGTCTAATTATTTTTTATGTTAAAGTTTGTTATTTATAAACATTACTTTTAATGTTTTTTATACAGTTTTAAACAATTCAATCCAGAATTGTTTAACATCTATTTTGTAACTCTGCTCTTAAAGCGTTTTAACAAAAATATACAATTCAAGAACGGATCAACTATGGAAGATAGCAGAGAGTGAGCTACAAGATAGAAAACACACACTGGGATTTGACAATCCAGCTGAGGAAGCCCGGGGATAATTGTGTTCAGCCACAAAGAGACATGTTAATATTCTCCCCTTGAAACTAATTCCACAAAAGAAGACACACACACACACCCCAATAACATTTCTGAATTGTGTAGTTCTGCAGCTGCAAGAAGGGGAGAGGGAAAAACTCTGAATGGCCTTCACTTTGTGAAATGGGATCTAAATCTATTTCTTAACTGATAAAGCTATAAAATTTAGATGAGTATGAATACATAATTAGCAGCCTTCTACAATGTAGTATACTTACGCATGTGATACAGCAGCTTCCTTGCACTCTCTTATGTCATTTATACGCTTGTTATAGCTGCAAATATAAATAAGATGTGTAACCATAGTGGTGATATACATTTTCTGGGGCTCTAGTTACAAAAGACAAGAAAATCTTCCTTTACTTAATTTCCTCAAAACCTCAAATTACTTAATATATTTAAATCCAACATAAACGCAGAGAAAGATAAAAGGGATTATGTATCTTTTTCTTTGCAGAATCAGAAGGCATAGAATAAGAAGCACAGTTTAAAGTAAGATTTAATTTTAGATGTTAAACAGCTCCAAGTAGTGCCTACTCTTTCTATATGCCTTTGCTTTTTGATTCGTATTTTATCCTAGCAGTCAATTCTCTTTTGGGTCTTCTAAGGACATTTATCTTTAAATCTCCAGGCATTACTTCAAGATATATCCAGTCCTTCTTACATAATAGAAACCATGCCTGTCTTACTTTTCAATTTAAGAAACAGTTTGCTGCTTAGAATGACAGGGTGATCTTTAAAAATATAGTCAAAAAACCTTCTGGGGGTGGAGAGGACTAGATAAACATTCTTCTAGATATGATCAATGAAACATTTATGTACTTCAATAACGATCAAATGAAATATGTACTAGTCATTCAACAAGCCTTTAAGTTCAATGCTATGAATACTCTAAATTTAATGTAAAATTAAACCTATTAATGAATGTTGAAACATGCACCTAAGACTTCAATAGATGTAATTCTCTCTGGTCCTAAAGGATAGGGTGGACCAATTACTCTGATCTTCTCGTCTAACTTCATGAATGTTGAATCTGTTAATGCTACCAACAGATATTCCTATTATGGACCCTAATTAAATTTACGTTCTAAAATAACTTTAAAGGCAACCTTGGATTCATCTTAACAAGACTTGACGAGGATTAAACATTATGAAAACATCTGGGTATGGTAAAGCTACAAATGAGTGGGGCGAGGTAGAGGATAATGCTGCTGTTTCTACTAATCTGTTAATGAAGAATTATTTGGACTTTCTCCTATTTTATCATACCTCAATCATCATATAATATGCATATTTTTTTTAAAAAAAACCACATACCCTCTTATGTTTACAAATAAATCTTCAGCAGCCTTATGAATATGAAAAACTTCATCCCGAAAGAGTGCCAAGCAAGAGCTGCTTTGAAGAGCGAGTTTCCAAAGAGTCAAAGCTGTTGTGTCATTATTCAGGATTCCGTGGCACAAAATAAATCCAACTTTAAAATGAGGGGAGAAAAATCAGAGTTATAAAAATAGCAATTACTAAGAACTGAAGCAGAATACTAAGATACAAATCAATTACATTCTACCCGCACATACAAAAAAATAGATCATGCACACTTTTTATTGCATCCTATTATTATTGTTGTTGTTGTTATTATTATTATTATTTCTTTTCATTTATAAAATATTTTAACAGTTATTATCAGGGCATATCATTTACAAGAAAGCAAAGAAAGAACAAAAAGAAATATTAACACATATATTAATAACAATAATAATGTAACAGAATAATTTTAACTAGATTTCTCTTTATATTAGCTAATATATTGCATCCAATTAATACATTTTCAACCTTCTTGATCTTAAGATAGTCATTTCAACATCCCTGTACAGTTTAAAATAATCACCAAGCAGTCCTTACTTAATGACCACTCATACAGTGATCATTTGAAATTACAACTCCGAATGAAAGAGCATCCCCATGTGATGTCATGTGATCACAACGAAGATGCTTGGCAACTGGTTCACAATTAAGACATTGCAGTGTTTTTGTTCATGTGATTATTATTTGCAACCTTCATGGCCAGTTGCTGGCAAGTGACCAATGGGGTAGCTGGAGGAAGACTACAAATAGTGATCACATGATTGTAGGCAGCAATTGTAAATTGTCATGGTCATATGACATCATGCCACAGGACCACATTGTTTGGCAATGGAGGTCCTGGTCCCAATTACAATATGTAAGCCGGGACTACCTTTTAGTGTTTTTATTCTTTCAAAATTTTCTAGTATTTTAAATTATATATATATAAT